CTATACATATAACTGTTATTTTCTTTTTTTTCTTTTTTTACCCTTTCCTCTCCTCTTTCAGATTTTTATTAATGTTTCCGATGACGGCGTATATACAATACCTAACTGCATTGCCAATACGCCACACGTGTACGCTCGTCATGTAAAATAGTTTATGACCTCGTTGTCACTGTAAATAAATCAACTCTCCTTTACGCGTCAAAGTTGCTCAAAAATCTCGTCTAATCTCCGATACAGAAAAAAATTGTGTTTGGTTTTTTTATTTTTTTTTTTTTTTTTTTATGCATACAGTACATTAACATATTTATTTCCTACGGAATTTCGAACGCGGACTGAAAATTTAATGGCACCGTGCAAACGAAACGAACGGTGTACCACCGTATATTATATCCCGTACAAAAATATTAATATTCGTTTTAAAATTATGCAGATTCAGCGGGATTCTTCGTTTCTCTTCTGAGCGGTAACACTATTAGCCATTTTTGTGTAGCCCGTCACGTGTGTGTACACGCGATAATAATTACAGTGTTACGTTTCACCCTAAAACCGAGCTCCTATAATTACTTTCCGCGAAGAATTAGCAAAATTTTGGCATTCCTGCCATATCGAGATAATATGACGAAAATTAACGACGGCCAATGTTATTCAGATTCGTTATCTTGAACGACAAAACCCGACGAAACTTTTTGACGTTCCTTATTTCACCGTTCGTGGTAGCGTTTCAGTCGCTCAATTCGTTTACTGAATATGTATCGATATAATATGCATATCGAATGACGGACGATTTTCTCGTTTCATAATCTCGGAATTTCAATATTATGTTCTATAATTCCTTGGTATTCCTATACCGGTTCAAAAACCGCAGAGAAAACGAAAATTGGGTAACTAAGTAAAAACCATAGTGAAACCAATATGTATTCATCGCTTCACTCAGAATCTAAAAACGATGGAAGTAATTACTACGGCACGTATAAACGGCGTGTTTTGTATGTTTATTATTATTATTGTTATTTTATTTTTTTTTTTTATCCAGTTCCGAAGTATTTTATCATTCCGTGTTATTTCTTAATTTATATCGAACACCGTTTTATTTGTTTTAATTAAATTTTTTAATAATTATTCAGCCATCCGGACTTTTAAACATAAACTAAGTGTTCATTTAACTGAATCATTAAAGCACCTAGGTATACACTGCGGGTGCTTATATTCGATGCTCATTCCGCACCTTAGTGGAGAATATTATTATTATTATAAGTAAATCGTATACAATTAAAACAATCCAGTTAAAAGAAACGGAATGGCTCCGTTGGTGCAGCAAGTTAATCATTTTTATTAGAGTTGTAATTTTACTCATTTTCAGAAACGTTAGACATTTGTCTCATGCCACCGTATTTTACTTTCCTTAAAATCGGTCGTTTTTCTTTTTTTTACTTCCTAACGACTTTATTACGCCACATTTTCAAAAAAATCGGTCATATATTGAACGTTCACGACGACTTAGGGGTGGGGTAGGCGAAAACAGAAAATTTCATATTTTCAGTTGTATTTTCTTGAGATATTTATCGCGTAAATAATAAAATAAAGTTACTTTAATACACTGCATGTGTTTTCAATGTATCACAAGAGTTATAGAATGAGGTTGAGAAATGTTTTGAAAACTTTGTTTTAAACACTAGTTCAAAAATTAATTTTAAATAATAAATATGATCCGAAGAGTGAAGATATCTATGTAGATAATGTTCATTTTAAATTTTAAATGAAAATAAACTTCATATTTCTTTAAATGAAGAAGTACATTTTTTTTTTAAATTATTGTTTTGTTCTAAAGTAGTTTTGACTAAATTAATTATTAAGTAGTGATATGATATCAATTATTAATTTATTAAACAAAAAAAAAAAAAAAATGTTTTTTTACCACCCTGGTTATAGTCGATAGAAAAAGTGCAAGTTATTTTATATTGATATTAAATAATTTATGTTTTGTTGAATTTTTCTAAAGGATTTTAGTTAGGAAAATTAAGAAAATAAAAATTTTAAACTAAAATTCCACACATATAAACATACAAACATTTTAAAAACATACTTTTGATAACTTGTAGATAAATAATTTATTTATAATAAAATTTTTTAAACAGTTTAATATAATGTGTATATAATAATAAGCTACAAATCGGTGTTACTAAAAAAAATGTTAAATAATTATTAAATTGTAATGGAATATTTATAATATACAGAGTGTCCCACAATAATTAGACACTTGAAATTACTTTGTTCTATTCAATATGTTTAATATATATATGTATTTCTTTTTCTCAGGTGGGGAAACTTAAAATCCAAAATTCAAAATAGTGGTTGTCAAACCACATTAAATGAAAATGAAAATAAAATCCTTATCACTATTTTTTTTAAATAATAGCAAAATTCTAAATTTATCGACCTAAAAAAAAAAATAATATATTAACTGTATCGCAGAAGTATACTAATTTCTTTTAAACAAATTTACATTTAAAATATTTAATAGAACAAAAATAATTTCAAGTGTAAGATTAACGTGGTGGAACATTTTTTATATTTGTCTTCAAGTTTATTGTAAACTCGAAGTCTTCTCTATTTTGTTTAGCTTAAATATTTCATAATAATTCACTTAATAAAATATCAATTATATTATTATATAGAATAGGTTCAAGTTTAATCGCTTTGATAAGTTGTAAGTTTACTTTGTACCTAAACTTTTTATACCAATTCTGTATTTAAGTTAATATAACATTATGCACTTAAAAACTTATTAATCTGTATACGTATTTTTAATGATGTCGATAAAGTAACTGTCCAAAACCGAATATATTCTGAAATTATTCAATAACGTGAATAATAAATACAATTTAAAAAAAAAAAAAAAAACAAGAACCAAAAGAATATCTGGAATTTAAATAATTGCTCGGCAAATATAAATACGATGTTTATGGTTTAATGATATTCATAAATCGTTTATATAAATATTTATTCATTTCTAGTTGATTCTACTAAGAAATTTTTAATTTATTATGCTTTGTTTATCATTATTAAAATTATATCGGTAATCGAATTAAAATAATTGTGTATAATATACATGAGTAAATTACATATTATGTTCATAATAGCTATAGGCGATTTTAAAAGATGACAAATATCTGAATATCGTGTACGAAAATATTGATTTTTTAATTATTTCGCCCCAGCCCCCATCCAGAGACGCCCCTGCGGGCGAGGAGTTTTTTATAATAGTGATTTATTTACCATCGGGAATGATCGATTGAATACATACTGATTGTCGTATAAAGTAGGTATTGTATTGTCCAACGATTTCGCATTGGTAAAAACAATATGACAAAGTTATCATTGTACCACCGGTTGTAGTACGTAGTGGATATCCATAATAATAAAATATTTATTTGAATAGTATAGCTCTAGATATTCGGTTAGGGCACGAAAGCTTACTGAAAACAATAACTGAACGGGATGTCGAGAATTACTCGGGAAGTGGGAACACCTAGACCAGATAATCAACGATCTCCAAATATGTTTATAGAGGCGCATAAGGGAAAACAAAAATAAGGACCTGAAAAAATGGAACTACGACACGGAAATACCGCGATTTTGGATAGGTTAACCGAAAGAACTCGAAGAACCGTGTTTAATGACATATTTTGATTTATTTAATAAACGTTTCGACGCGAGAATCGAATTACATATTCTGAATGATCTATTAATCAAGGCATCGAACTCGAGACAATAACGTCATCCGAGTCTACGAGTAGGTATACACGTGGAAACGGAGATGTTAAGAGTTTCAGTGTATTTAGAACAAAACTGGTAATCAAAGTTCGTCGCGTGCAGTAAGTATAAATTGTATTATATTATAGAACGAGGCTTTTAGATTATCCACTTGTACACCGCGATTATAAATTAACAGAATGCGCATTGTAATGAATAAAACGCAAATGCTGTTAAATTGAACTTTTACTTCCTAACCTACAGTTATAACAGAACTATTATATTATGCAACTGCGCAGTGAGCGCGGTTTAAGAAACTAATAGAAAACCGAAAACGACATTCAACTTTATGTATTATTATTCTTTATATAATACGTTTTTAATTAAATAATTTAATCCGGTAACGAAATTAACATTTATCCGGCGGGTCATTGCAAAGCGCGTTTCTTGTGTTAAACTAATATATAGGTCTACTATGCTATATTATATTTTCGATTTTCGAATTTACGATTCAGTACTTCAATTTTTTTTTTTTTTTTTGAGATTTTGCGTCTTCAGTTATAATTTCTGCGGCGATTAATAGTTTTTCTACCAGAAATCTTGTTCTGGTCATCGTGCGCAGTGTCTATTCTAAAAGAAAAATAATTTGTCGTCTTTATATTGCGTGCATCCCGGAGGTCGTTAATTTTGTTTTTCACTGATAAAAAGAAAAAATGGAAAAGAACGGAAAATCAGAAGTCGTGACGCCGGCAAGAGTGAGGAAGAAGAAAATTCAATTTTGATATTTTAATATTATGAAACGAAATGATATTTGCAACGGTTACTCATGACAATGGAAATATTTTAAAAGACACTGAAAGCATTCAAAATATTTAATGCACTCGGCATATTTTTTTTTCGAACCTCTTATCGGTACCTATAATATCAAATATAATTTAAGTAAATTATTCCACATAGTGTACTTTTAAAATTAAAATCAAACAAAAAATGCCTACTTGAATAACAGAGTACAGATCACAATACGATTCGCGGTGAAGTGGTAATACAAATTGTCGACCTCGTTCAAATAATAACCGTAATTTTCTGTTCAAATTATGAACAAAAGAAAAATTATTTTCGTTTCGATATTATTTCGCCGATAGTATTACGTATCAAATTACCGTCATATTTGTGTTTCTGATGACTTTTACACCGTCAAATAATAGAATCTAATATAACATAACCTGTAACAACTGTCGACGAACTATAGAACACTAAATATGTTGCGGATTCCTGTATACAATAATAATATACTCTCATCAACAAAAAAAAAAAAAATCTATAAAAATATATAATAATATGAAATATCAAAAAGAGAAAAAAAAACAGATTGCTATGTATTATATGGTACTTATATTTTTTCGTTTAAAAACAAACAAATACTAACTGAAACTAAAACTAATAATATTAAAACCAGTCAACCGTGTTGTGATTTGAATTCCAAACACCGTGTTTCTTTCCACTACCATAATATTTTGTAAACATGTTACACACATATATTTGTTATACCAAAAATAAAAACGTCATTTATTCTGTCGGTTCAAAATCCCCCCAAAAAAAAAAAACGTACCGCATTAAACATATTATATAGAAATTCGTAAAAAAACAAAAAAAAAAAAAAAAAATACAATTTATTATTTCAAAACATCTTTCATTACAATATCGACCGAGAAATTATACAATATAATAGCTATTCAAATCACATTATGATTTAAACAAATCGGTGCTATGGAGATTGTATTTTTTCGGTATCGAAGAAATTAACAAAGGAAAAAGGCAATTAGGTCAACTCGTTGTATATTGTAATGTGCATAACGACCAACCGCGGAGCATTATAAACGGATAATGATTCGGTGCGGAATTTGATTCACGGGTGTTTTGATAAATTTAAATTGAACTGTCTAATCGAAACACAACAAAAAAAAAAAAAAAAACTAAATCGAAAATTACTAAACCGTGCATGCTTTTGACTTTCCCGTTTTCATCGGGTTTTTAAACAATAATACTACGTAGACATTTAAACCGCTTCTTCATTCGTCAACGAACAGACAATATTTCCTTTCTAAAAACACGCTGCTATTAAAATTTGGAGCCTGGTTCCCC